CTCTACATCCCTTCAAATACAAACAATACTAATAGTGATTCCAACAAATCTAGTGTAGTCCTAATGCTTTCTAGATTTATTTTCCTAAAAAGGGAGCATGCCAGTCAGTCTAGAAAATACATTTGGATTGCATATTGGAGGACCAGGATTGGCAGGATTGGCAGAGCTCTAATTGTATGTTTTGAATTTTTCCTCCATGTCACATTTTTAATAATTTATTTATTTCCATTTTCTCCATTCTCCTCCCCAATATGTATACTGCAGAATAATTGCAAATACAGTTTGTGTGAAGAAAACAAAGTCTCTTTCTGTATCCCTTTAGAAAGCCGAAAGCTTTTTTATGAGATAGGAAAAGTGATATTTTCTATTAGCCACCTTAGTAGACTGTAAAAGACTTCGGGGGTGATTGAAATTGAGGATAGATTTTATATTCCACCATTCGTCCCCCAAATGCCTCCCATTTCAGCTTCCAAATGTCAGCAATTAGGCCCTCCCTTCCTTAGGATTCTTTTCTACATGACATGGGACTAGGGAAATGTAATTTGGAGGAATGTTTGGCGTATGGAAGATTCTTTACTATGAAACATCGAACAGGTTCTGTGTTGGTGTTCCTTGAAGAATACTCATAGAAAAAATAATAGATATGAGATGTTATTCCACCAATGATGAAGTCACCTGGCTGGTACCAGTCATGTGGAACAGGAATAGGATCATTCACAGGGGCACCTCATGGTATAAGAGGGACCAGAAAGAGGGAGAGTATTAGAAGCAGCAACAACCAGTAACAGCAACCAATTCTGGCAGTCTAGCTTCTATCTGAATGCAGACTCTCCTGTCTTCATTCATTCTATTTTCCTAAGAAAAGGCTACATTGAAAGATGCATGGCTCTGTTCTCTCAGTCCTATAATTGGAGTGTGATCTGCCTCTGAGTGCTACAAACATGCATTTCTTGAATACTAACAGATATCACATATTTCAGAAATTAAATTGGCATATCCCTGTGTGCCTCTGACCCCAGCTCTCAGTACACAGGATTCGTTATAACCACTTTCAGGCTTGCTTGTTGATTGTTTTCTAGTTGCTTCCAGGAAGCATTGGGAGGTTTCAGCTGGTGAAGAAATTGCAGTGATTTGGGTAATTACAGGGTAGGATTATGATTTATTTCTTCAGAGTCTGGTGTCTGAGTGGCAGTTTTGCTTTATAAAAAAATCCCATTCTGCTCCTTATAGGCAGAAGAAGTGACCGAATGAATTTTCCATGGTGAGCTAATGACATGATCACTGTGCCTCATGTTACAGACACTTCAGGTTGCGTTTTTTCAGGTTATGGACCGCCGAAACCCGGAAGTACCGGAATGGGTTACTTCCAGGTTTTGGCGGTCACGCATGCACAGAAGCACTAAATCACACTTTTCGCATGCACAGAAGCGCCGAATCGCAACCCGCACATGTGCAGATGCGCAGATGCGGGTTGCGAATGCTGTGGGTTGCGAACGTGCATTCCGCACAGATCACATTCACAACCCAAGCGTCCACAGTACTGTCTTGGATCCTGCTGAAAACGTTTCTATTTTTGGGCCTACCTGGACATTTATTTCCATTTCTTTTGCTGTTCAATTTGTGTGACATAAATTACCCTGCTAAGGTTAAAAAATTAAAGTGCTGATGATGTAACAAAATTGATTAAAGTGATTAAAGTTTATTGATTGATTAATTGATTAAAGTTCATTGATTAAAGTGCCATCTTAGATTATCCCAGAAAGAGCCACCCCATTCAGGGGAGTATATACTTACCCTCCATATTAGCCAAAAAGTATTTAGGGTTCAAGAAAGTGTTGTGGTCCATTAATATTACCTAAAATGCTATCAGGGGTGCCAGCTATAGCGGGCAGAAAGGGCTTCAGTTCCCTCCATATTTCAAGGCAAGGGGATGAGCCCCCTCCCCATTATTGAGGGGGCCACCATCCCTCACTGCCCCTCGGCAAATGCTGGCCTGCTGGTTTGGGATATAGGGTTGCAGGGTAAAATCAGAATTAGGAGTTAACCTTGCCTGGAGTGTTGTATGTGTGTGGAGGTCTGTTATAACTGTAGGAATGCCTTCAGAAAGAAACTTGCGAGGGG